CTGGTGAAACGGCAAAGTCCCCTGGGGAAGGGAATGGGCAGGAGAGAGAGTACACGGGGAGAGAGTGTGCTGTGTAGGTCATAGCTGAACCCTCTGAAAAACACTGTAGGGACTGGGTGGGTGCCTGAAGCCCACAGAGATTTCCTCATGAGCAAGGATGGAGCTGAGCCTTGAGTGCTGCTGAAATTGTGCCAAAGGTACACCTGTGGAGGGCCCAGGAGGAGCCCCAGGGTGTTCACTTTCAAACAGATATTGATGTCAGTGAGTGGTATGCACTGAGAATGAGACCCTGAGGTCAATCCCCAGCACCACACACACACACACACACATACACACACACACACGCACACATGCACGAATTATTCATTTATTTATTTTAGAACAACATCAGACTCACAGAAAAAAATGTCCGATGGTTCAGTGAGGTCCCTTCTGCCCCCACAGTCAACAACATCACTGATAAATATCCTACGTTAGTAAGGTTTGTGTTGGAATGGATGGGCCTATATTGGGAGATTATTTATGCCAATAAATAATAATATTAGTATGAGCCCAAGTCCACACTTGAAATTCCTTCGATTGACAGAATGCAGGTTCCCAAGTTGCAAGGTTGCCAGTTCTCAGTGGCAAGTTCTCATCCAGGACCACTTAAGACTGAACACACAACATCTGCCACACTTGCATTCAGCCCACTGCTGGCCACAACCTGGCTCAGCCGGAGGGAAGCCTGTAGCACTCAGTCCCCAAAGGGCCAGGGAGGGATGACAACTGACCACCTCCAGTTCAGGCCAGCCATAAGAAGCCAGTTATACCCCCAGTTCCCCAGTTCATAGAACATTCTCTCTGACTTCGAAAGGATGTTCTTGGGCTCTCCGGGTGGCTCTCTCGCTGCCAGTGTTTGGTGCTCTCAAACTGCTTCTCCACCTGGGATGGCTGTTGCCTTGGATGGATGAAGGAAGAATGAGGGCCAAGCTGGTTGCTAATTACTTGCTATTTATTCAATCTCTCATCTCTCCCAGCTCTCTCCAACTCTCTCTCTCTCTCTCTCTCTCTCTCTCTCTCTCTCTCTCTGTTGTCTCTCCAATCAATCCATCAATTTGTCCAACAATCCAACAACCAATTCATTTCTCCAATCATCAATCCCCTTCTCCAAGCTGGAAACACTTGACTTCCCCTTGCCCACATCCTCCAAGCAGGCCAAACCCCAAGTCTTTCCTCCATTCTTCATTCCAACTACCCCATTCCTCTATTGTCCTCTGACCTCCTGCCATGTGTGGGGTGCCTCTCTTGCTTCAGTGTCCATGGGCACTTGGGAGGTTGGGATGGGGTGCCATTCGGACATGGCATTGTCTTTACCACTCACATGCTCCAAGGATGCCCTTGGTGACCGCTCTGAAGGGTAGTGGTCACATGTGTCAGAGGACATATCTCTGTTCTCATTATGCTGCTGCCATCGTAAGCATGGGAGGAAGAACACACAGGCCAACAGCAGTAGCTCTCCATTTAATCACTGTTGATCTGTCAGTGACCCAATGTGAAATTTGTTGGTTTGTTTGTTTGCTTTGGCCAGAGCAATTGGAAAAGCAGATTAGGTGCTATTTGTGGAACAGGAAGAGAGCTTGAGTAGCTCTCTTGTGGTGAAATGAATTTTGATTGGCTTGAAGATTAGACACCAAAGTGGCAATTATTGAATGGTTGCTTGCTTGAGGAGAGCAGTTATGGCTCCACCTGGAGAAGGGGTCAGACTTGTTAGGGTAAGAGGCTATCTGAAGCCCTGGATGGGAGAAGACTGCTACTGGCTTGGGGGAACAGGTGACACAGAAATTTTTACTGTCAATAAGAATTGCTTTGATTTTTTTCCTTTCCATGTTAAAAAAGTTTGGATGATTTATACAGCTACTGACTGTAAGTGAAAAGTTTCTAGTTTCCCCACCGACTATAGTGTTTGTCAGTATTGTGAATAAGAGTTTACTATTATGAGTCTAATACTTTCATCTACATCAATTGGTCTTATCAATCTCCTTTCATTTTTTTAAATGAGATTATCATTATATCATTGAGGAAAAAAACCTTCTTAGCTTTTGTGTTTTGGTGGGGGGAAGGGGACTCCCAAGCGACACTCAGAAAGAACAGTGGCCACTCATTTCCAGCCATAAACATTATTTATGGCTCATCACTCAGGTCAGGTGATGTGGTACTGGTTGGACTGGCAATCTCCGAGCCACTGGAGCTATACCAAGTTGTATTTAGGGGGCCGGGTGGGACTAGGAATCAAACTTCAGCCCTTTGAGCATCTCCTTGCCCCCCTCCCTGTGGTTTACATTTTGTTTTTTATGAATGGGGAGGTGGTCCCTGAGGACCTCTAGGATAACCCTGGTTATCTCTGAGCTCTTCAGGATAGCCCTGATGGTCCTGGCTGAAGGCATGACATCTTCATGGTCAACTGTTCTGCCTTCTTAGCTAAAAACTGCAAGGAGGGGCTCCGGGCCCCTTGAGCACCACCAGCGGCTGACTCCTGGCTACCTGGTCAGTGTTTAGTACAAGGCATGTAACATGCAATACCTGGGACAGTCCTCTTCCTCCTCCTCCTCCTCCCTAGATGCAGAAGGAGTTGAAAATAGGCTTTTTATGTGGGTGAGTATAGGTGTGGGCCCCTGATCTTCATGTTGGAGCCTTTACCGGATTCATTTACTGACTTGTCCTTAATGGTTGTTTAACCTGGCTCAGCTCTTGTCTCATCCCAGTCAGACTGATGAGACTCAGGCTCTCTGCCTCAAAATAGGAAATACACAATATTCATATGCATGCTTTGGGGGCTGTTTTGAGAATATTATTAGTCCTCATTTAATGTTGTGAATAGATCCTTGGAAACTGCCACAAAGTACCACTTAAACATGTTAAGAGCTTATAAGGAAACAAGGAAAACAGATCCTCCACTCACCTCCTGCAAAAAAAAAAATCTGCAGGGATATTTTTATCTACCTCATACTTATTATAATGAAAGCATTCTGAAAGAAACTGTTATTTGAGGACATACTATGTCTAAAAATAAACCTATAAACTCTATATGCAACTATGAAAACACTCTCCTCAAGTGGGAAATAGTTTTGTTTGCCTGTGCTTTTGAGTCAGAAAAGAGAAACTCCACTACAGCACTCTCCCATTATAGCTTTTGAAGGAAGTGAGCTCTCCCCAACAGCTGTCTGTATCACCTCACATTAGAGACTGCTTCAGACTACCCATCACAAGCAGTATTTGTTTTCCCTTACATGTGTGCTCTTCTCCCCACCCCCTCCATATACACACACAGACACACAGACACACAGACACACACACACACACACACACACACACACCTCACATCTGGTAGTGCTCAGAACTTACTCCTTGCTCTTTGCTCAGATTGCAGCTGGTGCTGGGTGACAATATTGTCAGGGACTCAACTTGATTGACTGCATGCAAGGCATGCGCCTTGACTCCTGTACTATTTCTCTGGCTTCAGTCTCTCTTATGAGAATATCCTGGGCAAAGTCAGGCACACTGAGTGTGTAATGACCTTGCCTATCCATTACTACACATCTAGTACCAGTATAAGCACATTGCAGCTACCAATAATATTTTGTTAAATGAAGATACCAACAGACCTTTACATCTCTGAAGGGAAGGGTGTTGACCAAAGAAGATGAGATGGTAACTATTTTCAGTACCATGCCCAATAGCACCTCAATAGGAAAGTAACCTACATGGCCAATCGCACAGTCAACGGATTGGGTAAGAGTTGCCACCCAGGAGAACAAGCCATTGCAAAGCAAGTGATGACATCAGACTGTATTGTAACCTTTTAATGAGATATTTCAGAAAACTCTCTGAACAACAAGCCCAAGAGGAATATGTTCCTGAAGGAATTTCCTGGTTTCAAAAAACAAACAACAACAAAATCAGCCCAAACTCAATAACTGCATTTTTCTAAAAGGGAAAAAAAAATGAAAACTCTGGTGCTGAATGCTCAGCAGTTTTTAAAGTGCATTCATATCTTTACTTTGACTTTTTATCTGCCAGTTAAGAGATGGGGACGCGGAGATTTGCTAAAACCCAGTATGTGTACAAGGTGACAGAAATGCTGACATTGGGGTAGCTGCAGACCCAAGGCAGGACTTCTCAGGTGAAGTCCCTCGTTTTCTACCCGATCTCTCCTGATTCAACCGCTGCTTCGATTCAAATCTTTCAAAATACACAAGTTCCCTGTTCTCCAGTGAGGCCCCGCCAGTAGGTAGGGACTGAACTAGATGGCCCGGGCCGTCCCCTCCTTCTTTGTGGGTGGCCACTGCAGAGATCAAGTGAGCCTCACTGAGAACTGGGCCACCATTCTCAAGGATGGACGAAGCAGAGCTGAAAGTTCAGCCTGGAGGCTTTGGGCGGAGTTCCCCTGTCAAGGGCTGGGCGTGGTGCTGGGATCCAGGCAATGTGCGGAGGGAGGAGGGGTCGGTGGCTGGGGAGCGGCGGAGTACATAGAGCTCAGGGGCGTAGCTATGTGCCGGGACTGGGCGGGACGCCGCTCAGAGGCGGAGCTAGGTGCCGGGAGCGGGACGCTGCTCAGGGGCGGAGCATTGTGCCCGGGACGGGGCGGGAAAGCCGTTCAGGGGCGGGGCTAGGTGCCAGGGGCGAGGCGGGATGCCGCTCAGGGGGCGGAGCTAGATGTCGGGGGCGGAGCGGGACGCCACTCAGGGGCGGGTCTAGGTGCCGGGGGCGGGGCGGGACGCCACTCAAGGGCGGGGAGATGTGTCGGTGGCGAGGCGGGACGCCGCTCAGGGGCGGAGCCAGGTTCCGGGCGACAAGGCGGGACGCCGCTCAGGGGCGGGGCGATGTGCCGGGGCGGGGCGAGACGCGCGACGTGGCAGCCGCAGGGGCATGCGCGTCCGGTGGCCATCTTGGAGGCGGGGTCGTGCGGGGCGCTCCAACCTGCGTCTTGTCTTCTCTTCGGTGTTATTTACGCTCCTCCGCCCCGGCCTCCCGGTCTGCGACTTCTCAGCACTGCCACCCAGAGACTCTTGGGGATCCCTCCCCTCCCAGGTGAGCGTCAGCCTGGCAGCATCCCGTGCATGCGGGGCGGTGGGGAATCCGATGCGGGGAGCAGGCGTGCGCCGAGGGGCGCCCTCCGGGCCAGGTGGGCGGGCCGGCGCCTGGGGATGCGGGGCGCCTTTTCATGGTGCAGCGGCGGCGGCGGCGTGGGGGCCGGGCGTGGGTGTGGGCAGGGCCAGGTGAGGGTAGGTTTCTTGGGGGGAGTGCAGTGTGGTTGCCCGTTGGGGGTCAAGTCGAGGCCGTTCTCTCCACTCCGGAGATGGTGGCCGGCACCCCCACTGAGCGTCTGGCCCCACCTTCCAGCGAGAGGGCCCGAAGGGAGCCGGGCCGGCGCCTGCTGACCTTAGCCCAGCCCTGCCCGACCTGGAGACGTGGCAGAGCCTGGGGAGGCCGCTCCAGCCTTGCAGACGCCTGGGCCAGGGAGGGCAGTGAAGAGCAGAGCAGCCCCCCAGCTCGGAGGCGCCTTTTCCCGTACCCGCTGTCCACTCCTGGGCCCTTTACCCAAATGCACAGGAGAGCCCATATCCTCCGTGGCAGAATTTAGATCCCTGAGAGCATTTTTGTCATCCGAAGTAGTTATTTTAAGAGACTTACTAGCATGGCCCTTAGCAGTGCAGTCCCTCGCCAGCGTTTAATTTAACTCTTTATTTTCTTCAGTGACGTTTGAGGAAGTTTATTTGGGGACCAGAGCTGCAAATTCAGAGGAAAATTAAAGATCCTTCCCCCATCTCTGCACTCTCTGACAGGTTCATTGCAGGACACAAGTCTTCCAGTAGGGCATCAGCAGTAACAGTTGCTTTTTAATGCTTTGACTTTGATCAGTTTCCTCTTTTCGTTTCTTGTATCCTTGTAAGTAGTGCGCTTTTTAACAGAAAATGCAAGGCAGAAACAAAGTGGAGGAGGAGGGCCTGGCCAGGCTGGGGGACTTAGTTATCAAGCCATTTTCATCGTTTTTTACTTAATGTGACACGTGGATAATGCTTTTTATGCTGCAGTTTGAGCACGGAAACTTTCACAGGACTCTTTCCACTTCACTGCCTTTCGATCCCAGTAGCTTTTCAGTGGTAGGTCACAGTGTTTTTGCATGTAAATTTTACCCAGTACAGTTTGGCTCAGGTGTCTGCCATTCCACATCAGCCATCCATGGATGGAAATGATGGTACTTCTGTTGACTGTGGCAGAGAGTAAGTGTCCCCAATCTGAGAAGGTAATTTGCGGCAGAAAATATGGATACTCTGTGGAATTACCATAGAACTAAGAGTTACTGACATTCAGAGCTTTTTGCCCCTAGAAAAATTCACACACACACACACACACACACACACACACACACACACCTTGTAATGGTGGACTTCTTGTATATCAGGACTTTGTTTATTATAATAATTTTAAATTTTTATTGAGGGAGTGTTTATGAGTGTAAATGTTTGTATATTTTCAGGGTACCACACCCATCACCAGAATACCAATATCCTTCCACATTGGAACTTTCAGTCCATTCCTCATACCCATCCCCATTCCCCTGATAACCTCATTTCTGTGGTTATAGTCAAAGGCAGTGTTCTACCTTTATACACCTGTACACCTATACTTTCCTGTACACATTCCACAGACCTGCAGTTATGTTCAAGATGGTAGACCATGATTTCAGCCTTTCTGTACCTGCAGAACAGCACTGTTCACTGGGCCAGTGGTTGAAAACCACTGCTCTAAAGTTAGTTTCTTCAGATCTCTTTTCTTCTCTTGCATTATTTCTGATGAGTGAGATCATTTTGTATTTGTCTTTCTCCTTCTGACTTGTTTTGCTTAGCCTTCTCCCCAGTTCATCTGTTGAAGCAGAGAACAAGATTCCATTTCTCTAATAGATGATTAGGATGCCATTGTGTGTGTGTGTGTGTGTGTGTGTGTGTGAGAAACAACTTTATCCACTCATCTGTTGTTGGGGCCCTTGGGCTGTCTGCAAATCTTGTCTCTTTATGTAGAGCTGCCATGGACGTAGTTGCGCATTTATCTTTTCAAATTGTTGTTTCTGTGTTCTTTGGATAAATATATAGGTGTGGGATTGCTGGATTATATGTGTTTTAATTTTATATTTTTGGAGAACTCTATACCATTTTCAACAGAGACTGAACCAGTGTACATTTCCACCAACAGTAAATGAGAGTTCCTTTTTCTCCACACCCCTGCCAAGGGTTGCCTTAATTTAATATGAAACTAACAATAGGTTTGTGTGAGAAAATTAATCCTGAAATCCCAGAAACATGTCGTGTGCCACTTTGTTCTGGTCAGTTAATTACCATGTTTTGGTTTCGTAAAGATGTGTACGCTTTGGTAATAATACATGTTGGCTTTATTTCTGTACTGGGGTCCCAGGCCTCTGAGGGGGCTGCATACAGAAGAATGGAGGCAATCCTGTACACTGTGGAGTCAGGAATACTGCGTGATCCCAACTCACCATTCACAGCCCTTTTTTCTTCCATTATTTCCTAAACAATTCAGTGTAGGTTTACACATTTAAACTGTTTTAAGCACTTTAATAATCTATAGATTTTTATACAGAAGCATGTGCATAGTGGTAAATATGCAAATATGTCATTTTCTATAAGGCATTTAATATCTATGCATTTTGATATCCCTGGCCAGCCCTTGGAACCAGTATGCCTGGAAGCTGAGGAACAACTGTTTGTCATTAAACTATTCTCAGATAGTCAAAATGTTATTAAAGGGTGAAAGAAATGGACTGATTGTGTTTTGGGGGTCTGTTCATTGTACACGTTCGTTTGCCCATGTATTAGTTAGGGATCAGGATTTTTTTTGTTTTGGGACCACACCTGGTGATGCTCAGGGCTTGCTTCTAGCTCAAGGGTCACTCCCGGCAGGCATGGTGGTCTGTATGGTGTGGCTGGAGATTGAACCCCTTGTGGCCTCATGTAAGGCAAGAGCCTAACCTGCTGCCCTGGCCCAGGTCTGAATTATCTTTAATCTCATTTCCTTTTTCCATTGAAAGGATTTGGTAGCATCTGTGGTTGGAAGATAAAGACCCTTAGAAAAACAAGGCAATGAAAAAAAGTGGTAACTTCAGTGATAAAATTCCTCAGAAGGCATTTTCTCTCCAGGTCACAGCCTTTGGAGTTTGGAGTGTGGGAATCAGATGAAAGACCTTTGCCCCTTTGGTTCACTTTCTCAACTCAGTGCCATAGATCCTCTCTTTGCATTCATAGACAAGCCTTTAGAAAGTGTCAGTATGTGCCTCACCTTTCCTTCTAGTTTGATTCAGTCTGGCATCTGTCCTTACTGCTGCTGTGGAAACACTCTCCCTTATTCATCTCAACTTTGGTCGTTCATTTGTTATTTTGTTGTTGTTGTAATTTTTTTTTAATTGAGTCACAGTGAGATACATAGTTACAAAGCCCGTTCATGGTTAGGTTTCAGTCATACAATGTTCAAACACCCATTTCTCCAGCATTGTTCATTTCCCACCACCAATGACCCCAGTTTCCCTCTGGCCATGCCACCCCACCCCCATGGGCAGCCTGCCTGTATGGCCGGTTGTCTGTCTGTCTGTCTGTCTGTCTCTCTCTCCTTTCCCCCTCCACCACCCCCATCTCCTTATCTCTCCTTCTTTCTCCCTCTCCCTTTCTCTCCCTACCTCTCTATTTCTCTCTTTCCCCTCCACCCCTTTGACCATTATGGTTTGCAGTACAAATACTGAGAGGTGACCATGTTTGTTCTTTACCTACTTTCAGCAAGTAGTTCTTATCCAGAGTGATTGTTTTTAACTATCATTGCCATAGCAATGGCATTCTCTGTCCCAACTGCCTTCTCCCTCTGCACCTGAGACAGACTTCCCAACATTTTTTTATACCTTTCCTCAATGGTTAATGCTTCTATTCTAAGTACCCTCTAGCCCACTCTGCATATTGTAGTAAAAGGAATCCTTCAGAACACAAATATGAATTGTCATAGGATAGAATCAACCTCTTTCAACAGGTATAATGATAAATGAAGCTTCATAGAACTGCAGAGATGAGGATCAGTTGCCTAGATTTTAGCCTGATTAGGTACTGTTGATAGATAATATGCTTATGAAAAGCTGCTTTAAGACATTCATGAACTCACTTTTGTTTCTCTAAATCTAAATTTTTTAAAAGTATTATAGGGACCAGAGAGATAATACAACCAGTAAGTCATTTGTGTTGAACTCAGTAGACCTGGGTTTGATTCCCCTGCACCCTGTATTATCCCTCAACTCCGCCAGGAGTGATCCTTTGGAACAGAACCAGGAGTAAGCCCTGAGCACATCTGGTGGGTCTCAAAAACTAAAAGAAAAACAAATTATCCCTTGAAAATCTCATATAATTTTGCTCTTTAAAACTTGGTTTCAAATTGTTTTTAACAGTAACCTGTAAGATTTTAAAATTTGTTTTGTTTTGGGGCCATAGCTGGTGTTGCTCAAGACCTACTCCTGGCTCTTCATTCAGAGATTATTCCTTTTGGCCCAGGGGACCATATGGGGTGCTGTGAATAGAACCCAGATCAACTGCAAGCAAGGCAGGTTTGAGCCTTACCGTTTGCACCATCTTTCTGGCCCTCAGACTTGCCTGATTTTGAAAGACTCAGTGCATGCAGACTCAGACTCTGGCCTCTATCCAGCCTTCATTCTCTTCATCTTCTTTTATACCTTGCCACTGGGATTTTTTTTTTTTATGTAGACTACTGCTATTTATTCAGCCACTGATTAGCTGACTGAATTGTGCATGAACTCCACCTTTTTTTTTTCCATTTTTTATAATTTTATTTATTGAATCACTGTGAGAGCAGTTACAAAGCTTTTGGGTCTAAGTCTCGGTCATACAATGAAACACCCGTACCTTCATCAGTGCCCATTCTCCACTCCCAACAACCCCAGTATACCCCCATCCCACATCCTCCCCCTACCTGTGGGGCAGATGATTTCCACATTACTCTCTCTCTACTTTGATCACATTCAATATTTTGACACCAGACCGACCATTATTATTTTGGGATTTTACCCCAACACTCAGATCTGCTGAAAAGGCAACAGTAGACAATTTGTTTTCCATTGCTGGTTATGAATAATATATGATGTTGCGTGGCTGCAGTAGTGGTCGCGCAATTTTGAAATTATGAAATTTTAGCACTTAAATCTGGAGGAGTTTCTGCCAAAACCTGCTCGGTTCCGAGATTTGCTCCTGAGTCTCTGGGATCATGGCCATTAAACAGCTTGATCAGGAGCCAGAAAGGCCATTCGTGGGTGATGACTTGGTGTCTCGTTGGGGTGGGGAGGACAGGACCGGTTCCACCCCCATTCCTTGAGGCCCAACAAGTTTCATCACTGCGGGCCCAGGCCTGACTGTCCAATGGCCTTTGGAGGATGATGGCCACCGAGCCGCCAAGGGGTACCAGGTGGAGTGACAACACCCTTTCCCCCCTGGAGTGGCCCGGCAACAGTAACCTACTGTGGGATCCTGACACATTTCTGCCAAAAGACTCTGGGTTCTGAGATTTGTTTCTGAGTCTCTGGGATCATGGCCGTTAAGCAGCTTGATCAGGAGCCAGAGAGACTGTTTGTGGGCGATGACTTGGGGTCTCATTGGGGTGGGGAGGACAGGACCGGCTCCACCCCCATCCCGTGAGGCCCTGCGTGTCTCATCACTGCGGGCCCAAACCTGACTGTCCAGTGGCCTCTGGAGGATGGCGGCCACCGGGCTGCCAGGGGGAATAGGCCAAGGCACGAAACCTATTCCCACCTGGGTTGGCCCAGCACTGGTAACCTACTGCAGGGACCAGACGCATTTCTGCCCAAAGCCGCTGGGTTTCGAGATTTGCTTCTGAGTCTCTGGGGCATGACCATTAAGCAGTTCAATCAAGAACCAGAGAGGCCTTGCCTCCAATTATATAGCTGAGTCGGAGGTGGTTTGTGGGTGTGTTTCCTACATACCTAAGTTTTAGCCGTTTACTTTCTTGGTAAACTTTGCCCCAAGTTTTTGGGGCCTGGCCAAAGGCACAGCAGCAATTTTGGGGTATCTGGAAGTCTGAAGGAGCCATCAGCACTCGCCTCGCAGGTACAGATTGACCTGCTGGTGGCACCATACCCCCAACATGGATTTTCTTAAATGCATTTTTGTTTCCTCCATCTCCGAAAACCATACACTTACTTTTTCTGGAATCTGATTTTTATCTCCTTTCCCTCACCAAAATCAGTTTTTCAGCTTATCTTTTCTTGAACTTCTTGCCAGAAATAATCTTTTACCCCGAGAGCCCATAGATCTAGGTGCAGTTCCATATACGTTGCTTTATTCATATTTTGTTTGTAAGTTGCGTGCTTGTTTTTACTATTTATAGGCACCTGGACTGTGCTCTTCAGGTGGTTCATCTTTGCTGGATAGTTTTTAAGTAAGTGAAAATATTAAAATAGATTTGCAAGATTAGAAGTTTTGATTATATAATTGATGGGCTTGAACATTTGTGATTTTTTGTTGTTGTTGTTATTGTTTCTTAGAAGAAATTTTCCTCTACCTCATTGTCTGACAGCACCTGTTGGGGGCCTTGCTCTGTACTGATGTTTTCACTCTGCTTCACTTGCTAGACCAGAGGTAGACTCTTTAGCCATTATAAGATGTGTTTTAAGATGAAAATATAAAAACTGGAAATTGTGAACAAAATTCTTTTTTATAAAACTGGAAATTAATTAAAAAATTACCTGTTTTTAGAATAATGTGCATGAGAACCCACTATTAATAGTAGTGTAAATCACAGAATTTGAATACTTTTTTTTTATTTACAAAAGTCCTGGGAATTTAAAAATTAATTTTTTAAAAACTTTAACCGGAGGAGTCTGGAGGCAGAATAGCATCCTCTAGGTCTCTAGGTGTGACTCTGGGGATTCCTGGACCTCTTGCACAATGCTGAGGGATTCCCCACCTCCACCAAAGGAGAACTTGGACTGGAAAGGTCCACATTCACTGCTTTATGGGTAAGGACTTTGTTTCAAAATGCTTTCAGTAATTTATTTTACATGTACCTATGACTAATGTAGATAGAAAGTTTAACATGCATTCGTGTGGCAGAAATTAGTAATTTATAATTTGAAATACATTGGGTGGTTAATTACATAGTTAACATAAAATTAACAGTTTCAAGGTATGGGTATGAAAGTATCCTATTATTGCATGTTAAACAGTAAAACAAGACTCAGAAATTTTGATAGATGCTTCACCTGAAAATAATTGTCATTATAAAAAATAAAGAAGAACATCTGTCTCTCAATGGCCACTCTTTTACTGTCTATACGAGCTTTCAAAGTATCATGGCTTCACTGCATATGTAGCGATGTCTGTATTTCTCCCGTGCCACAGAGTTGAACAATGATGGAAGAAAGCGGGATAGAGACGACGCCCCCTGGTACTCCACCACTCCACCCTGCAGGAGCCGCCACCACCACTCTGTCTTCATCCCCAGCTCCTCTTGGTACGTGCAGTTTCTAGTGTGTTGTCTGAAGTGAGGATGGTGAAGGTACAGTCACCTTTTCTTGGGAGTTAATTTTTTTAAATGAGTGAATGGAGACTTCTCTGATCTTTCAGATGAGGGGACAGACTCATTTAAGCCCAATGACAGGCAAATGTGCTCTGCTTTAGGTAAACAGTTTTTTGTATTGCCTACTAATCATCTTTTGGGGTGCTCCTGGTTCTGCACTCAGGAATCACTCCTGGTGGGGGTCTGGGGACCTTTATGGAATGTCAGAGATTGAACCTGGGTTGGCCGTTTGCACGGCAAGTGCCCTACTACTGTGCTGTCCGTCCCGCCCACGAGTCATCTTTCTTAAGACAGAAATACCCGTAAAGGTGTTGTCTAAAGGTATTTGATTTAGAGGCAGTTCACTTCTGACTTCAAAGTTTGTTTTCAGTAGGGTCGGTCCTTATGCTCCAGTCAGCAGGAATGGAAGTGGCTCCACTTTATGAAAAATGCATCACAATGGATGAAAATACAAAGATCTGTTTAAAAGCTGTGCCATAATTTAGCTGCTCCCTCTCCCCCAGGAGTTTATTGTCCTTTGTATTTATCATATTTGAAATTACACTTTCAAAAGTAGCTCTTGGAATTGACATCTTAAATTGTAAGCTTCTGTAAGAAGGAAATCATGAGATAATTTGAGAACTATTTCCAATTTTGTTTTGTTTTTTTTCTCCCTAGCTACAACCAGTTCATTTTCTTCTCCAAGTGCATCGTCCATGCAGTCTTTGTCTCCACACGCGTTCTCCACTCCACATCAGGCCCTTCCTCCCGCAGGGCCTGCCCCCCCACTGCCTTTTGTGCCTGCTTCCCCGGTTCCCTCTGGCCCGCCTCTCACTCCTTCTGTGTCACTTCCTGCTGCTCTCCCAGCTCCTGCCTCTGCTGCTGTCAGTACTCCTTCTGCACCCCAGTTCCCCCCGCCCACATCTGCCCCCAGCACTCTTTTATCCGCTCCCCCATCGGGGCCTCCAACATCAGGATTTTCTGTTGGTTCAACTTACGACATAACAAGGGGACACGCAGGAAGAGCTCCCCAGACACCCCTGATGCCATCGTTTTCCGCCCCTCCAGTCACAGGTAATTCTCTCTCATAAACAGCCATAGCTGATGTCTTTATTTCAGTGGCTTTTCTTTTGATGTGATGACATGCCATACAGTTCACCCTTCAATACTAGTTGCTGTATTTACAGAGTTGTGTTAGCATCACCTCAGTCAATTGTAGAAACCTACAGTCATACCTGAAGAAGAAAATCCATGTCCATATTGCCTACTTCCTCCCTGCCCTCACATCCCTAAGCCCGTGGACCTGTGTTCTTTCTCTTAGGAATTTGCCGGTTCTCTTTGTATAATAGGTGATCTTTTGTGACTGGCTGATTTCACTCACCGTGTTCTAAAGTTCACATCCATGTTGTAACTTAATATTTCATCCTGTTTTGTGTATGATAAATACACTGTATTATATGAGTGACCATATCTTATTTATTCATTTTATCAGTTAATAGACTTTTAGCTTGTCTCACATTTTCACTATGGTAAATGTGATTTTTAGGAGCATGGTATTCAAGGTTTGTTTGATCTTTTTTTTTTTCCCTCTTGGGTATATGCACAGAATTGCTAAAGTTTGACAAACTTCTGGACTTTTCTAAAGCAGCTACATTTTTTTTTGTTTTGTTTTTTTAAGGAGGGGGACTGGTGTTTGTGTGTGTGCGAGGTGGGGGCGTTGCTGGGGAGATCCTCAAATAATGCTGAGCCTTTCCAGGAAGTGCCCTGCCTGGTGGTGCCAGGTCTGACAGGTGCACCAGCCTGGTGAGGCGGTGCTACTAGGTGCCACCAGGGCTACCCTCAGCTGTGCGGGGCTCCAACTCTGGGCCTTACACATGTAAGGCCAGGTGCTCCAGTCGCAGTGACACCATTTTGTCTCAGCAGCAACAGTAACTGTGGGTCCACTACCTGCATTGTAACTCATTTGGTTTCCAGAGTTTGGTAACCTCGTGTTTTTGTCATTTAAATGACTAAAATTAAGCTCATGTAACTGCACCTGATTTTTATATATTGTAAACCTGAACATATGATAAGTGTCTACAGTGTCAGAACTCTTAAGACCTTTTTTGCCTTTTAACATTAGGGTTATTTGGAGAGTTTTAAAAAAAGTTTTATTAAAAATGATCGGAACTCATCAAGAGGCCTAGGGGATGTGGCTCAGCAGTAGAGCCTCTCTCTGTGTATGTAAGGCCTTGGGCTTGGACCCCTGGTGCTGAGAGAGTGAAGCGAAGGTGTGGAATCAGCAGCAAGTGATGTAGGCAGAAGGAGCATCAAAGCAGCATTGAAAATCGGCTTATGTGGACCATAAGTGGGACTGGGTCTTTTATTTTTATTCTTTTCCTATGTCAGTCATCTGACTTCCCTAAATATTTGTTGGAAACCATTCAGGTTTGGTAAATACAAAAAAATTTTGCTCACTATAAAAAAATGTGTCATTTCTCACCTACTTCTCTTTTGAGGAAAAGGAGTAATACTTATTTCCCACTTTGCTTATGAGTCTTTACAAATGATTTTTTTTTCTTTTTGCACAGTACAATTCTCATGACTATGTGAGATTTGAGTTGAAAATAGAGTATGTGTAGACAGGGAGATGGTTCACAGGGCAGGAACAAAGCTTTCTAATCAGAGCCCCAATTTGAATCTCTGGCGCTACGTAATGCTTCCAAGCATCACTGGGTATGCTACCCTACCAAAAAAAGCTGGGTATGTAGAGTATGTACACTCTTCGTTACATACTTTTTACACATGAGCTTATGTAATCATATCAGTTATTTTTGCACTTTCAAGTTATTAAAGCACTTTAAAACTATAGCTATCCATGTGTAAGTGATACATAAGGTAAACATAAAATACATTTTGGTGGGGAATCTCTCCAGAGGTGTCAGGAAGCCAGGGGCCCGTCCTGGCAGTTTTTTACCAATCATTTTGTGATGAATGCAAAGGTCCAAGAATGCAGACTGCCAGGGATAACTAGGGCCACCCCGGTAGTGCTCCAGGACTGTACCTCCCCATGCTCATGGGACCATGTGGTGCTCAAATTGAATCAGGCCACATGCAGTACATGTGTCTGTGTCCCAGTGCTACCTCTTGGGCCCCTGAAATTTTAATGTCTCTTTATAAAGATACAGGTTAGTTTTTGAATTCACTCAACCTGGAAGCCACATCACATCCATGTGTCTTTTTATTGGAAATAGTTTATAAAATAGTTCCTGTACATTAAAACATTTTGCCTTTCACTAGGTGTTTTGCCAACTCCCATTACTCAGCAAGCCAGTTTGACGTCTCTGGCCCAGGGAGCTGGCGCTCCATCAGCCATCACTTTTCCAGAGGAGCAGGAAGATCCAAGGATTATTCACGTGCAGGATGAAGCATCTGCGGGTGGAATTTGGGGGTTTATTAAGGTAAGAGGGCTTTCCTTTTACATATACTGTAATACTGTATATACTGTCTCTATTATGTATACATAATATATCTGTATTTACATAAAAAGTGTTTCCATTGTGAAAGTAATAGATGCACATTAGAATTGGAGAAATGGGATCAAACAATGAAAATTCTTATAACTAGTCTTCGATACTCTGAATCTATGTGCACATCTCTGTAGATGCACTTTAATATTAAGGTCATATTGGCAGAGTGATGTGTGCACATTGTTTTTTGTCTTTACCTTTCATATATTTGGGATGTATTTCCAACCATAAAACCATTTTTTTTGTTTAGAAAATATTTGTTTTGTTTTTACTTTGGGGACCTCACCTGGGTCTGCCTGGGCATCACTCCTGGTGGTGCTTGGGTGTCCATATGAGTGCCAGGAATGAGCCCGGGTAAACTGTTTGCAAGGTGAGCACCTTAATTCCTGCACTATTTCTCCGACCCTAGAAATTATTATTTATGACTGCTTTGTTTTTCAGCCTTTACCCGCCTGTCAGTTGGCACTTGCCCTGTACACAGATTCACAGCTTGGCAGTTACCCGTAGGCGATAGGTCAGTGGTCCAGTGGACCAGTCGCACTCCAGAACTGTGCCATGATGATGCTGCATTTGACTAAATGTGCTTGGGCATTTTCTGAATTGAATTCTTATCTGTGAATGTATGATCACTCTTTGGGGGGAGGAAGATGCTCAGGGCACTGTGCAGTGCCAGGGACTGAGCCTGGAGCTCCCACATTCAGAGCATGCACTCCAGCCCCTAGCCACCTCCCCAACCTCTTCAGAATCACTCTCAACATGCAATGTAGAGAGTGTATAAAACTTCCTGAGATGCAACTGCTCTCTGTGAAGGTCAGTTACACTGTCATCCCACTTCTATCATCGTAGCACTGATTACTTTAAACATAGTCTAAAAAAATAAATACCTTCCCTTTCTCTAATATTGGATTTGATCAGTTTTTCATGTTGCGTTTTACCATTTGTATTAGTTCTCTATTTTTCTGCCCAGTTTTAAATTGAGACAGTTTTCTCTCCGTGAGATTGTAAGAATTCTTACCATAGAAGATTTTTTACACTTAACATTTAAATTTTATTATGCTTTTCTGACACTGCAGCTTATAATTTTCAGAAGTCATTTCTATCAGTCTTTTTTTCCCTTTTCAATTTTTGTATGGTAAAAAGTACTTTTATCAATCTACCAACCACAATCTCTGATGAATTTTTTGTTCTTGTTAATTCTCTTTAGGTTTCTTATTTAGAAAAAAGTTTAATTTACTATAAGCTGATACTTCATTAGAAGGCAGATGCTAGACTTAACTTTCTTTCAGCCAGAGAATCCATTGTTCTAGCATCATGCCACATGTTGCTAAGTCATGTGTTGTCATTTTTCTGGGCTCTGTGCAGTGTGTCACAGCTCTCCCTGCTCCTGCAGTAGCATTCCACTCTTGGAGCACTTTTGTTCCTGACATGATGCTAGAATTCGTGGAAAGATTACTCTGCCATGCTGGGGACAGAAAGGCCACTTCTAGATCTCATACTTGTAAGGATATGTCAGCATTCAGTTGTATAAGTTGGCTGTTTTCTCTTTCTTACCATTTTCTTTACTGAGTCTTTCCGTGTAGTTTTCTCAGTGAAGTTTGGCGTGACTTTGTCAGGTTTTCCTGCTGAGGATTGGCTACAGTTCTGTATTAAGCTAAGCCTACTTCTAAGTTGGTAGGTGACTGATTCTCAGTATTTGAGTTTTATGTTTCAGCAAGACGGCATTTTCCTAGGGTTGCTTTCGTGGATCCCTATATACTTGTTTTTAAGGGCTTTCATTATATAGGGAACGCTTTCTGCGTTTCATTGTTAAGAGCACATGTAAATTAGCCATTGTGATACCCAGTCCAGCTCTGAGGTCTCACAGATCATTTGGCATAGGGCCTCCTACCTGGCATGAGGTGGCTGCGCCTACTAAACACTAGTGTTACAGACCCATCTTTTCCTGAGTCACCTCACTTAATGAGAGGATGGAAGAGGGGAAATCATGGCCTGTTGGCAGATGCCACTGCAGGTGGCACTGCTTCCTGTATTGGAAGGCTGCAGGTAGGCTCTGGGAATACATAGCCCTGGCTCCTTCTGAGAGTGGGTTTAAGGATCCAGATAAATAGATCTGTTTTGAACAGAAAAAAAAAAATAGAGATAGACCAAACAATAAGCAGGAAGTAAGGAAAGGAACTTTAGGGACACTCAGAGTATTACATACTAAGATAATGATAACTTCTGGGGAATGATGAGAAATACTTTTACTCTGTTCATTTTTTTTTTAGGTTTGGAAAAGTTGGGGTCTCTGAAAACATCCTACTAGTCTTTATTGAGTACACTCAATTTGATGCACCAGTTTTATATAGTCTCGTATTGAAATCAATCACAAATCAATCACAAATCATCTTGTTATTCGTCGATTGCCTCGAGCAGGCCCCAGTAACGTCTCCTTCATCCTAGCCCTAAAATTATATTCAAGGCTCTTTAGGAGAATGAGACCCATCATTGTTACTGGTATTTGGCATATTTGGTATACCACGGGGAGTTTGCCAGACTCAGTCGTGTGGGCAGGCTACATTCGGTAGCCTGCCAGTTTGTCCAAAGTAGGAATGAGATATATCATTCCTGTATCGAAATAAGTTGAAATAAAATTTATCCACATAGAACATAGATGTACAGACATACTTCCAAGACCTGTTCTTCTCAAAAGTGTGGTCTGTGAGTGCTAAGGGTTTGTGATAAGGGAAACTGAGCACATACTTTGAAATATAACAATCTGACGTTGCCACAACCCCACAACCCTTTTGTAAGTCCTTATATTACACATACTTTATTGTCTTGAATGTGTTGGGAAATTAAAATCATTTTTCCTTCACAATCAGGTAATCATGGTGTTATTTGCTTAAAGTGGGTATTAATATAGCAATTTATCTTTTTACAGGGTGTAGCTGGGAATCCTATGGTAAAATCTGTACTTGATAAAACAAAACACTCAGTAGAAACCATGATTACAACGTTGGACCCTGGCATGGCTCCATATATCAGTATGTATTTAAGACTGACCAGCATCTCTGTGTGTGTGTGTGTGTGTTTGTGCGCCAGTTTTAGCCACTAATTGTAATTGCACAGGTGTATAAACCATGGAACCTATTTATTTGTATGTTAAGTTGACTGTGCAGGTTTACTATTAATCTTTTTCTTATTCCCCACTAAATACATTTTGAAAACACAGAATGAACTTTGACATAAGCTAATATGAATTATTAGCAGGTGGTTAGTGTTGCTTTATATGAATTTTGGTTATTTACTATTGACATTTGAAGTGACACTGTTCATACTTAGTTTTGACATTTCTTCCGTTATTTTGGTAAAAAGTATTTATGCTTAACTCCGGATGATTTTTGAGGGACTTATTCCTTTTATTAATATATGATTACTAGATTTGAGAGAGCTATTTTTTAACAGTTTTTAACCCTTCAGTACAAAGACTCCTCCTGTTGGCAAAGACTTGTGCTGTCTGCCACTTAATTTTAATGTGCACACTAAGTATGTGATAAAATATAATTTAGCAGGATTAGTGATAGAATTATTAATAGTTCGTTTGAAGATAATGACATACAAGCCAAAACTATGTGCTAAGTACTGAAACAGAACTTTTCGGTGGCAATTAAAAGTCATTTTTCTTGAGTCTTGATCTGTGTTGGTAGTTTACTATTTAGTAAAGTCAAAATACAAAACCTAACTATGGTAATTATTGTTTCTTAAATGCTTGCTCTGCCAGACCCTAATTCTCATTAGTGCTCCACGCGTGGGTTTTAGATTTGGAAACTAAGTTCAGGGAGAGCTCAGAGGTCTCACAGATTGGGGAATCTAGATTAAACACATGCTCACTGTTTTTCACAATTTGCCTCTTGAAAGTAGTAAGTTGAATGAGGAATTAAGTCATCTTAATTGTTCTTTGTGTTTGTAACAGCCAGAGGATTCAGAAATTTGACTCAGTATTTAATTTTCACATATTCACAATAATTTTGACATAATCCCTGCCCCATACATACATGTTCTTCACAAACTCTTCATTTTGAAGAAATTGTTACTATTCCCATGGGTCCTGCACAGTGACTTAATCCTTAGAGTAATCCTGTGAGGAGGCAAGTATTTCTTTCTCAGGAAATAAGTTAAGTGATTCCTCCAGAAAATGATAAAGTCAGGACTCAAAACCAGGGCTGTCTCTGAAGCCTGCAGTCTGCATGACTTCAGGAAAAAGACCAAAAGACCTAGGGGTGGGAGGAGAAAGATACAAAATGAGATTTCTATTATTAGCAAATAGCATAATTTACATAATCTCAACCAGTTTACCACAAAAAAGCAATAAAATATGGAAAGCACACAAATTAGTAACAGGCAGAAAAGCAAGACTGTTTTGTTTCTTTTAAGCCAGTGATATGCAGAGACCATGTGATACCAGGGATTAACCTGAGCCTCTGATACATCACATTTAATGCTTTGAGTTTTCTCTCTGACCAATGACCGCTCTTTTTTTTTTTTAAGCAGTTCAGAGTAAGGCATATTTTTGTACCGATATTCTAGAAAGCACTGTAAATATTCAAATTTATTAATAAAGAAAAAGCTATTAGAAATGGATTTTAATTAAGTTGAACTTTCTATATTCTTTCCATTCTTTGTTGGCATTTAAAACTGTATTGCTTTTGTTTGGGAGCTACATTGAATGGTACTTGGTACAGTTCTATACTGGAACTGGAGCCTGCAGGCTTTTTCAGGAGACTTTTGAGTTGAAGCTTTAGTGGAACAGTACCTAAACATGCTTAGGAGATGTGTCTCTTGTGGAGAAAATAGTGTGGAAAACGTATGTCCTTCATTTCTCTCCTGCGTTCCCCATTGCCTTTAGGTTTAAGTTCTGAACTTCTAGTACCATGGAATCTATGGGATATTGTCAATCAGGACATCTATAAGACTAAAACAAAATTGACAAATACTTAGTACCCAGGCTTTAAAAAGAATTGGCGATTTTAAAAAGATTTTGATACTTGTTTCTTTGCCATTTTACATTTTAAGGTATTGTATATAGTATTTTTGGTTTTCTGTATGCTTGCATACTTGTATTAGGACAGTAGTAGATGTATAACTTATTTTAAACATCCATTTTAATGATGCTCTTATGTTTTATGATAAAAATGTGTGATAGAAAAGTTTTAATACTACAATTACACTTTTTCAGGTAAAAAGTACATTTCATGGTAGTCTTCATTAAGTGCTTCAGCTCAGACAAATTATTTATAAATAAAAGTCTTCATTTTAGAGTATCCTCTATGTATAATTCGAACTTGAAAAGCCAGATTTGTGATTTCTGTGATTGTTCCAAAAATGAGGGACTATAAACTATAGCTTTCACATGGCATTACAAGTTTTTGAATAGTAGCTGTTTGTTTTCATTAACCAATAGCCAAAATGTCATTTGGTATTACAGCCTTAAAAATGCAATAAATATTTGTATCCAAAGTTTAATCAGAAAATGAAACTTGGCTAAATTCTAATGGTATAGTGAAAAATTGCATAGCTGCTATAACATTTCCTATATTGAATCCATGGAAGACTTTTTAGGAACTGTTACTAGAATATTTTGGTGGGTTTGATCCCCAAACAAAACGAAACAAAAAAGAGGTAGGGTTTTTCCTGACTCAGTGCTGAAGGATCACTCCTGGCGGTGCTTGGGGGACCATACGTAGTAAAACCAAGTTAGTTTTATGCAAGGCAAGTGCCCTACTCATTGTACTATCTCTTTGGCCCATAAGAACTGTTACTAAATGTTAAAAATGTAGTCCATGACCACATTTTGTGAAATTGGTATATTTCACATAAAAGTGAAAAATAAACTGATTTTTTTGTTGTTGTTGTTGTTAGACTACTCAGAGCCTTTCTTAATGCAGTATTACTTTTCAAGAAAGAAATTTGTTGAGCAGTCCCAAGTTCTGAGGGCGTTACTACAGAATGCTAGTTTTAGGGGGAATTTTAAAATATTTTGGGATAATATTTCATGAAATACAGGATAATTTGTGCTCTATTTATGGTAGATGGGGTTAGGACCATGAAGAGGTATTTTGCAAATAAGACTACTTCATCTAATATGTAAGTTTTAATTTTTAAAATTCAGGAGAAGTTGATAGTTTGGGACTGAGCACTTGTTGAGATGTTAGATTAGAAAGTGAAACTGTCTGGTTGACTTAGATGGTATGGTGAAGATTTCTTTCTCTGACAGACTCCAGTTTGAATCTTTACATCATTACTAAGTAGCCATATTTCCTGTCAAGAGCTTAACAGTTTCAGTTTCAGCTTCATAAGTTAGTCTTTAGACTATGTCTCTCATCATTTTGTGAAGTTAATAATTTGTAAGTAAATTGGTAGCATGTGTAGTAATGATGAGAATTTCATAATATCAGATCTGAAATTTTCTTCTGATGTTTACAGAATCGGGAGGTGAATTGGATATCGTAGTGACCTCAAATAAAGATGTAAAAGTTGCTGCCGTTCGGGATGCCTTCCAGGAGGTCTTTGGCCTAGCAGTGGTTGTAGGGGAAGCTGGACAATCCAGTATTGCCCCTCAGCCGGTGGGCTATGCAGCTGGCTTGAAAGTGAGTAATTGAGTATCATTTCAAGATGGACAAACTTAATTTTTCCTTAATTCTGATAGTAATTTTATAGTGTATATGAAATAATGGGTTTTATATACTAAAATGGTGGTCAGTGTGGCCTTTAATTCAGCTCTACAGTGTAATGAAGGTGATGGTGGGGTTTTTACTTAGAGGAAACATAAACAGGTTTTGATTATTGGAACATGGTTGGGTGATACCATGCAGAGAGCATGAAGAGAAAGTAGTTGAAGAGACTGTTTTCAGTCAGTGACAGAAATGATAACCCTTGAATTTCCTCCACTTTTTATTACTATCACTGTTAATAAGCGTGATATTGATGTTTCTCCCAGAGTGGTGAAAGGGTTCCAGTCTGGAGGCTGTAGGCAGGGGTTAGGAGAGAGCTTTATTCTCTCCCTGAAGGCCTTTCTTCTGCTGGCTTTTGTTTGTCCTTTCCCTGTTCTTTTAACTCACCGAAACTTTAGGTTCTGGTGTTTTTAGACATTGCCTCTAGGACCAGCAGCTGTCAGCTTCTCGCCATCATATAGAAGGCTGGTTTATATAGAACAGTTCTATATAAATATTCTATACAGCATATAGAACCCATTTCGCAAACGACCAGCTGTCCTGGTTTTTCCTCAGAGGGAGGAGGACCTTGTGATTGAGATAGTAGAGAATCGCTGCATTGTAGGAACAGATGAAAGAATTTATTTGGAAGGGAAACCTGCTGCTTAAGCATATTCAGACCTTTTCTGGATTACCACCTTGTTTTCTGTTAACGGTGAGAGCATTTGTCCTACATTGACATAAAATGGATCCACTGACAGTGTCCCGCCACTGTGCCCTCATCTGTTCCCCTGTAGCCTGCTCAGATGCGGGACTCTGCCTCCCTCATACATGTCTCTCTTACCATCACTTTAGAAGCAACCTTTCCCACCTTAAAATCCAAAAATAAACTGGCTTTTTTTTTTTTTGAATCTCACTTCCTCCATCACTTTCCACCTTATTTCATGATAGTGCTTTGGCAGAGTTGCCAGCACTGTCCGATCTATCCGATGCTTCCCTTCACACTCCTGAGCCCTCACAGGATGCCCCAGCATGATCACCAGTGAACCCCAGAACATTCAGCCTGTCAGTGTGTCCACTCTGACACTTTTTATTTTTTATTTCATTTTATTTATTTATTTATTTATTTATTTTGCTTTTTGGGTCACACCCGGCGATGCTCAGGGGTTACTCCTGGCTCATGCACTCAGGAATTACTCCTGGCGGTGCTCCAGGTACCATATGGGATGCTGGGAATCGAACCTGGGTCGGCCATGTTGGCTGCGTACAAGGCAAACGCCCTACCCGCTGTGCTATCGCTCCAGCCCCCACTCTGACACTTTTTAAATTTTGCTGGAAGGTACCACACTGTGTGTGTGTGTTTGTGTTTGTGTGTGTATGTATGTGTGTGTGTGTGTGTGTGTGTAGCAAAATAGTTTTTAGTGGAAAAAGCAAGCAAAAATACATAGAGACAAGTAAGACACATGTTCAAGGAAAAACACGGGCTTGCAGAGAAAGCCTGGAAGGTGCCATGCCTTTCCCTGGACTGCTGAGCACTCACTCTTCTCCACTGCTGCTGTAGTTGGTTCCTCCATTTCTTTCCCCGCTCCTGCTGCTGTTCCTTTGCTGTCTTCTTCTCCGGGAGCATGGAGTGGCTTAGCGCTTTGGTGCCTTCTCTGTGCTGCTTTCTGAAGGTCAGACTATGTCATTGTGCCTTTCAGTACTCTCTCCGCGCAGTACCATATACCTCGTTATGCCTCCCCGAGTCTCCCTCTGCTCACTCCACACAGCCACGCCGGCCTCTTGCAGTGCTTCCAGCTGTCCAGTACACTCTGCTCCTGAGGGCTTCCCTCTGCTCTTCCCTCCCAGGGACATGTTGCGCTTCCCTCCTGTTCTGTTTGTCTTACTCCCTGACCTCAGTTCCTGTTTGCCTCTGCAGTGAGGCCTTCCCGCCCTGCTCTCAGTGCTTTGATTCCTCATTTACCTCCACATATGTTAATGCTCCCCCCCAACAAGAGTAAAGTTTTATAAGAACAGGGATTTTGTTTTATTCACAGACATGAATTCTTAGGCCAGTTCTTCAAAATAATCTTTAACAGTCATATAAGATTTCTTGGTATAAAATCCCAAACAACAGAATTCAAAATGCAAAGGTCCATTTAAAAAATTTATTTCCTCAAGTAAACACTCTGACGTAGCAGACATGGTCCCTCTGGGGTCTGGTTAAATCTCTGTGGGATGCCCTATTCAGCCTGAAGGGAGTGGAGACTTTTCCCAAAGTGGGACTGCAGCTGTGTGCTGGTGCTGCTCTTGACTAGCATCTTTACAATCAAACAGTGGTTCCCAGCCTGATGGGGTAGAGGGATATTAGTGATGGTTGGAGAGTTCAAGGTCTGAGCAGATCCAAATAATTTGGAGAAGCTCAGCCTCTGCTTGCCCAGCTTTTGTCTGTAATCATGCTGTAACTGGCAGTGACTCTGTCTCTTTTCTCATCACCTTGACTAGAAACAGACACCTCTCGCCACTTTGAGTCTAAAGCCATCCTGTCACAAGAAGAGACAGCTGGGAGGATTTGTATTAGAAGCTGATTAAATCAAATGTCCTGATCACTAAGCAATGTTCTTTTGCAGAGCATATGGTTTCCAGTTATCCTACACAGACTGAAAAGGGATCAGATAAAGTTGTTCTCTGTTTGGTCATTAGTGGTTTCTGATCCCGCAACTTGAGGAGTGTAATTAAGATTCCAGAATCAACAAAAAGCACGAAAACAGAAGAACACACTGATCAGTTTGCAGGAAGGATGCTTGAGTTAAGTGTGAACTCATGCAAGAGCAGAGGACTACGTTATTCACCCTTGGCTGGTTTTCTTATCAGGCAATTCTAATAATTTTATGAGGCTGTGTACACCCAATTTTGAGACTACAATAAATTTGAAAAAGTAGCTCAGTTCTCTGATAAAGAATCATGAATAATAAGGATAGGTTGTCCTTGTAAAGAGAAATGCATTCTGAAAGGACAGGTCATTTCATAATAGCTTTGAGTAATCTATATATTGAGAGTCCAGTGATTGGGAACTTATGTGGTTATTGTATATAATTGTAGTCATTCACTTAATGTGAAGCAATTGAATGAGGTAGTTAACAGCGCATTTTATTAGGGAAAATCCAAGTTGTACTAATTATAAGTAGTCAGTAAATAAATTTTCATTGATATACAAACACAGTAACAACAAGTCTTACAATGTTACTAGACCCACTCGAGCAAATCGACGAACAATGGGAGGACAGTGCTACAGTGCATATTACCTTTAATTCTCTCAGTACTGCATGAATTTGAGGTTCTTCTTACAGTAACTGTAGTACTTCATATAAATTGGTTTGTGTGTGTGTGTGTGTGTGTGTGTGTGTGTGTGTGTGTATGGTTGGGGGTGTTTCTAAAGAAGTGCTCCAGGGGCCTGGGGGCCACTCTGTGTGCTTCCCCTCTCCCCCTGCCCTGCTTAGTGTGGTGGCCTGAGGCTGTGAGGCTGCACTGCTGGTCTCAGCAGGGCCCCTGGGCAGCACTGGGAGCCATGTTCTCCCAGAGACTGCGTGTGTCTTAGCCTTGTGCTCTTTCTCTCCCATCAGTATAAATTAAGTATGTAGGTGTTTCTTTTAAAACACACACATCCCAGGCCTGGAGAGAGAGTACAGCAGGTATGGCACTTGCCTTGCATGCTGCAGACCTGGTTGGATCCCCGGCAGCCCTGAGCTGGTTTCCTGAGCTCCACCAGGAGTGACCCCTGAGCACTGAGCCAATAGTAAGCCCTGAGCGCCACTAGGTTTGTGTCCCCCAAATACAAATCCACACCCCAAAGCTCACTGTCTAAAGACAAATAGGTACATAATATGAGCCAAATGACAAATTTTCTAATTTTTTTTTCATAGATGTCTTTATAAAGATCATGCTACAAAAGCACACTGAAATGTTACATATCAGGTGCTGGTTTGGTAATCTTCCCAGTTCCTGGAATTCCCTTGATTTTAATCCAAGTCCAGTAAGGTTTTCTTAAGGCATTAGGGGTTTGGGGTCTGTTTTGTTTTGTTTTTTTGCAGACACAGCAATGCTAACTTTAATATTCTTTAAATATGTTTTAGGGATGACACGAAAGTACAGTAAATGTGTAAAATGTGCACACAAATGTAATTATGTACAAAACCAGTTATATCTTCCAGTGTGAGCACCATTTGAGTGAACAGAACAAGTCAGGTGTCTAGTTTGAGGTTGTATTTAACTGTTCAGTACTTTGAATTCTTTGAAAAATGGAAAGAGTTTTTATTTAGATCTGGGAAGGGAGACTTCTAGAGGGTAACCAGGAGAAAAGACAAAGAGGGTGACTGAGCTAAGAAAATACTGAACAGGGCTAACAGCAGTGGGTAGGGCTCTTGCCTTGCACTCAGTGACCTCAGGTTTCATCCCTGGTACCCGTTATGGCCCTCTGAGCCCTGTTGAGTACACCTCTCCTTGAAAAAAAAAAATAGGCTAAGAAAATAGTGCATTTTACTGAAGTTTGGCTAAAGCAAGAATTGTATTTTATTAATGTGGTGTAGAGGCTGGTGGGTTTTTTTGTTTGTTTTTGGCCTTTAAGAGACACATTTGAGGTACTAGAACTTGAATTTGTCTCTTATTTTAAGGTGAGATCTGTCAGGAAACAGTTTGTTGGGCCACACTTGGCAGTGCTCAGGGCTTACTCCTGGCTCTTTACCCAGGATCGTGTGGGGTTCCAGAGATTGAAACTGTGTTGGGTGCATGCAAAGCAAGCATCCTACCTGCTGTACCATCCCTTCAGACCTAGGATGACTATTCTGAAGAAAAATAATTGTTCTGAATGATGGATTTTTCACTGGAATGTTATGAAAAGGAGAAAACGATGTATCTAAGATAAAATTTATTTATATAGGACTTATTAAATTTTATATAGTAGAATAATGATATTAGATAGTGTGTTGACTATGAGGACAAACAGGCGTGGGGGCAGGAGACTCAGTGCTGTTCTCTCCCGGAAGCTGGGTTTTATAGTCTCTGGGTCTTGGCCGTTGGGTTTTATAGTCCCTGGGTCTTGGCCGTTGATGGGATAACACGGTGACAGGGGCAGTTGGTGGGTGTAATACCTAGCTACTGGAAGATGGGGGATCTGGGTGGAGGAGGCCCAGTCCTGATCCAAGCAGGCTTGGAGATCTCAGCTCCAGGTCCCACACACCTGGGTTCCTCTGCTGGTTCCTTCTTGCTAGTCTGAACGTGTGGAGAGTGATCTTAAGCATGACTGTGGCAGGTTCTGGAGGTCTTCAGCTGCCGGGGTTCTGCTCATGCATGAAGGAACTGGCAGAGGAACCCAGGTATTCGGGACCCGGGGCTGAGATCACCAAGCCTGCTCAGATTGGAACTGGGCCTCTTCCACCCAGGTCCCCCATCTTCTGGTAGCTAGGTGTTACACCCACCAACTGCCCCTGGCACCGTGTCATCCCATCAATGGCCAAGACCCAGGAACTATAAAACCCAGCTCCCGGAAGAGAACAGCGCAGTCTCCTGCCCCCTTGCCTGGCTGTCCTCACCAGGGCCCCTTGGAGGGGGGTGGGTTGAGTTTCCCTCCTAGTCCCGAGCAGAGCCCTGGCAGCCGAAGACCTCCGGAATCAGCCACAGCCATGCTTAAGACCACTCTCCAAACGTTCGGATGAGCCTCATGCATGAAGGAACTGGCAGAGGAACCCAGGTGTGGGACCCAGGTCTGAGATCTCCAAGCCCGCTTGGATCGGGACTGGGCCTCCTCCACCCACATCCCCCATCTTCCAGTAGCTAGGTGTTATACCCACCAACTGCCCCCGCCGCCGTGTTATCCCATCAATGGCCAAGGCCCAGGGACTATAAAACCCAGCTCCCGAAAGCACATGACCGCATTCGTGGTTGCGCGCCCTCTTATTGTCTAGTTCTCACTCTTGGAGAACCCGACAGGCTACTGAGTGTATCCTGCCCACATGGCAGCGTCTTGCAAGCTCCCCATGGTGTATTCGATATGCCAAAACCCAGTAACAATGATGGATCTCATTCCCCTGACCCTTAAGGAGCCTCCAATGTGGCACCTGCTAAAATCTCAGGGCTAGGACGAATAGAGACGTTACTGGTGCCTGCTCAAGGAAATTGATGAAAAACAGGATGACAGTGATACAGTGATACAATGTTGACTATGAAAACCTGCTTTTACATTCTCATTTTTTTAAATGGGTCTAAAGTATTTTGTCACCGCAAATATCAATACATAGGTGATATTTCACATAGATGATATTTAAAACCAGTACGTACTAAACTTGAAAAACAGATGGAGATTTTTTTATTTTTTTATTTGAGTCATACCTGGCAACACACAGGGGGTACTCCTGGCTCATGCACTCAGGAATTACTCCTGGCAGTGCTCGCGGGACCATATGGGATGCTGGGAATCGAATCTGGGCCGCCGGCTGTGTGCAAAGCAAACATCCTACCTGCTGTGCTATTGTTCCAGCCCCCAGATGGAGATTTTTAATTTGTTGTTAGTGGTAGATATTGTATTTGTATTATTATTTTAGTATTTGGAAGATTATTGCCACTGGTATTTGACCTTCAAATTTAGATATGGGTTCATTCCATAATTAATATGAGCTTACAATTAAATTTCCTCGATTTCAGTGGATTTTACCAGCTGTCTTCTCTTTAAGCAGTAGAGGGAGCTAATGAGAAGGAAAGAAATGTAGAAACCTAGGCTATTAAAATTTCACCCCAGATTTTTCCTCCATCAGGTTTTACTTAAGGTGAATGATTTGTGTGAGCTAGATTTAACTTTTCTTAAAAACCTAAGAATTTTTTTTAGGGAAATAGTGAAAGTTAAAACCAAGAGGTTTCTGAAACTCTTTGCCAAGCATTAATTTTATTTAAAACAGTCATAATCATGAGCCTGTTTTACAGCTTACATTTATTAAATACTTATATAGCTCACATCTTCACATCTAAGCATTTACAGAGATACATCGAAATTTAATTATCCGAAATAAATTACTCAGGATATGCTTTCAGTGTGTGCTCTAGGAGCTTTATTGTTTTCAGTTCTGAGATGCTGTCATAATGCAGAATTCCATTCTCAAAACATTGACTGGAACTAAGTCTTTATTTTGTTGTAAATCAATGTTTAAATTATCTTTAAGCTCATGTCTTAAATTGACTTACCCATTTTTTATAGTTACTTTCTGTTTTCAATTCCTGAAATACTCTTGTCTAGAAGTGCTCCTTTTCCTTACTTTTATTTTAATATAAGTTGACCACAATTTTATTCACCTTTTGCTGTGCTTATATAACTTGGTATTTTTTTAACATGATTGGTTTTATTCAGAAATAAAAATTACTGTTTACTGTTTACTATCAAGTGATTCAGATAAAAGTGCCAAACAGAAACTTGCCCTTTGTTATCTTGAGCTTTTTTCTGTAAGAGTAGTATATATCTATAGCTAAATATTTTGAGTTATCTATATAGTATTTGCAACCCTCAATTTTGAGAAATGGTATTCAGAAAAATGACTGTGCTTAAATTTAATTACTTTTGCAGATTCAAAAGCTCATTTTGGTATATACTTTAAGACTGATTTAAAGACATTACTGTTGACATAACTAAACCTAGAAAACCTCAGAATCAACTAAAAAACAAATTGTGAAAGATATTTAGTCAGTAACATGTTGTTTTATCAGATTACAAAGAAATGTCCTTAAATTAGTGATAATAACCAGTTAGAACATAAAATAATTCATTTCACACAGCAGCCCCTAAAAATGATGCACATGGGACAAATTTGAAATGAGCACTTACAAGCATTTCTACTGAGGGAGACCTAGTCGGACTTTTCTTCTGTATTATCTGAATGTTTATAATGGCGACATATGTTTGTATACATGCATTTGTGTATTGTGTCATAAATATGTATATGTAATATGAATCATTTGAACTGGTTTCTAACTGCACTATTGTTGTTCAGGGTGCGCAGGAGCGGATAGATAGCTTGCGTCGAAGTGGAGTGATCCATGAAAAACAGACTGCTGTATCAGTAGAAAACTTCATTGCAGAATTGCTGCCGGACAAGTAAGAGGCTTGTCATTTCTCTAAGCAGTGAGAGATAACGGGGCCTCGGAGCTTCACACTGAGTAGCTACCCAAAAGTGAATCCCACCGTAGAATCAGAGAAACAAGTTGTGGTCCTGTTGGTTAACCACCGAGTTATGTGCTCTGTGCAAATCAGCTACATTTCTACCTTTTAGTTTCCTTTTGATTTCCAACTGAAGATTATTAATGCCACCAAAACACTTTTCACTTGAGTGGATGGCATTAATAGTCACTTGATATGACAACATTACAGTGGTGGATTGGTGTAACTGACCAGCACTGCAGACAAAGTCATGTTATGGATCACGAACAGGAGGTCCTGGTGTCACACTGGATGTGGCTTCCAATGGGTACTGCTTCTCTTTAGTTTGGAAAGTAGCTGGTTGACAGCCAATGTAATGCCTCATTGGTTTTAGGACATTACATTTTTTTAAAAATTTTTATTAGTGAGACACCATAAGGTACAGTTGTAGACTTACAAATTTTGTGCTTGGGTTTCAATTATTCCCTTTTAATATCTGTTTTTTCCCTTTTCTCTCTTTTTTTTAATACGCTCAGTTGATTTATGCTCAACTAATTTCCCAGTTGCTGACATTTAATTTCCTTCATAATCACATGTGGTTTTTCTTTCTTGGTGTCCTCCTCCAATATTAAATAATACTGTCTGAATACTTACAGACCGTATACAAAATTGTTCTTCAAATCAAGGCAAAGTTTATTTGGAAGAGAAAATGTAAATAAAAGGATTTTTTGGATTTGGGGGGTTTGTTTGTTTGGGGGGCCCGTGGTACAAGGGATTGAGCCTTGGTTGTCCTTGTACAAGCAAATACCTTAACCCCTGTACTATCTTTCTGGACCCAGGTGAAAAGTTTTATGTGATTTTAAAATGTGGTTTTGGGAACCAGACAAATAGTACAGGGGGTAAGGAACTTGCCATGCACCTAGCTAACTGTGATTGAGTCCCCGGCACTTCCAAGCATGGTCTACAAACAAGAGTGGTTCTTCTCTGATAGGAAATGTCATCTGTCTGCAGTTAAGAGTGGAAGTAACAGTGGGGAATGGAAGCTGAGATTCTTTCTTTTTTTTTTTAATTTTTATTAGTGAAATACCATGAGGTACAGTTGTAGACTTACAAATTTTTGTGCTTGGGTTACAGTTATTCAATGATCCAGTACCCATCCCTCCACCAGTGCCCATACTCCATCATTTACATTTTTTAAAAAATTTTTGTTAGTGAAACACCATGAGGTACAATTGTAGATTTACAAATTTTTGTGTTTGGGTTTCAATTGTACAATGATCAAACACCCATCCCTCCACCAGTGCCCATTTTCCACCACCATGGGTCCCAGTATCTCCCCCCCCCCCCCCATCCCACCCTGCCTCTGTGGCAGGGCACTCCCTTTTGTTCTCTCTCTCCTTTTGGGTGCTGTGCTTTGCAAAAGAGGCATTGAGTGGCAATCATGTTCAGTCTATAGTCTACTTTCAGCATGCTTCTCCCATCCTGGGAGGATCCACCCAACACCCTTTATTTGGTGCTCCTTTCTCTGTCTGAGCTCCCTTTTCCCCTAGCATGTGTGGCGGGCCTCCAAGCCATGGAGCAAAACTCCTGGTACCAATCTCGGCCACTCTTGGGTGTTAGTCTCCTATTTTGTTACTTTATGTTCCCCAGATGAATGTAATCTTTCTATGTCTATCCCTCTCTTTCTGACTCATTTCACTTAACATAACTTTCCATGTAGTACCACTTGTATGTAAATTTCATGATTTCATCTTTTCTAACGGAAGCTGAGATTCTTAATAGGACCACAGTTGGATTTTGGAGAATGAGTAAAATCTGGAGAGTGGCAAATAGGTAGGCAGGTGAGTAAGGTATACACTGAAGTCAGAAATTCTCAATTTAGGTATGCATTGGACAGAGTAAATCAACTTATTTGGGGATAGGTTGATGAGCACTGCACTTGAGACTGAGAAACTTTCTGTGCAAGTACTGAGGAGCTAACTATTGCTATTTTGTCTTCTTCATGTACATTTATTGCCTCATTAAAGACAACAAGACCTTTTTGAGGTATTGTAGGTAGCAGTTCTCTTCTGTCTGCATTTAAAGATGGCATTGTAGTATTCTGACTTCATTGTTTCTGTAAAGTTTTTCTCTAGTTTTCATAAAAAAGTCCCCCTTTTTTTTGTGGGTTTTGATTTTTTTTTTTTGTCAGTTTGCTGTGCTTTTAGTCAGACTAATTTGTTTTCATCAGTTTTGGAAAGTACTTGGCCATTGTATGTCTAAAATAATTGCTTCTACCACATTTTCTCTCCTTTCTCGTGATTTAGTTTATATGCTTCTTTACTTTCTGAGGGTTCTTATATGAATCCCCCTACTACCACACTATCTTTGCTTCTTTTTTTTTTCTTCAGTATACAAAATCATAATTACTTTAAAATCTCTTTACCAGACTTTTAGTGATAGGGTAAAAACATTCTGAAAAACATAAGGAACTCTGGAGTCTTCAGGTAATCTTGAGGAATTATGATTCTTCTAATGAACAGTCGTGGAGGGTGGGGTTATTTGTGGAAGAGGTTAATGGGCATACTTTAGTCTCACAGACTGAGGGAGTTTTAAGTGCATTTGGGATCAGATGCAGGTCTTTCGCTTACCCTTGAAAACTGTTTAATTCATCCAGCTTATACTAGGAACATGTTATTTTTCCTAACAGATCTTTCTCATTCACATAAGTAAATTCTTCTCTTGTACATTTGAGGACCTTTGTTCCCATACTTTTTCTTTCATCTTAGCAAGAAAAGTAACTGGCGTATAAACTAACTCATTTTCCATTACAGGTGGTTTGACATTGGTTGTGTGATAGTTGAGGATCCTGTCCATGGCATTCATCTAGAAACGTTTACACAGGCCACACCAATACCTTTGGAATTTGTACAGCAGGTTAGTTTTCTTGTCTTTTTCACCATAAATATTAAATTTGTTCACACTTCCCCCACTTTCCCCTCCTTCTTTCTCAGTTTTCTATTTCTTCCATGTTATTTTAGCTCCTAGGGCTGGAGCGATAGCACAGCGGTAGGGCGTTTGCCTTGCACGCAGCCAACATGGCCGACCCGAGTTCGATTCCTCCGCCCCTCTCGGAGAGCCCGGCAAGCTACTGAGAGTATCTCGCCCGCACGGCAGAGCCTGGCAAGCTCCCCGTGATGTATTCGATATGCCAAACACAGTAACAACAAAGTCTCCAATGGAGACGTTACTGGGCCCGTTCGAGCAAATCGATGAACAACGGGAGGACAGTGACAGTGATTTTAGCTCCTACTTTTCCAGCTGTCTTTGAAAGGAAAAGACCCTATTGCAGTGGCACATACAGCTGGGGTCTCACTCTTGAATATGCTTTAATTGTTACAAATTGCCATGTTGGCATAATGTGAAAGGAACAAATAGTTAATATCTTGTTCTCCACCACTCTAGGATAAGACGAAGGTTTACCTTTTCTGCTGGTTTTCTGTTCATTTACTTTCCCTTTATTTATCTCACGTTTTGTTCGCCCATCACTATTTTCTTTTCTTTGACTTGATCTTCCTCCTGTTCATAGTAGCATGTAGAAACTTGTTAAGAAACAGTTTGGAAACCCTAGTAAACCATAGGTTTAGACTTTAGACTTTGTTCTGTCATAAAGTTTCATCGCATTTATGCTTTTGTACATTGTTCAGTTTTACTTCATAACCATATATTAGTTGATACTTAATGGATTTTCTCCTGAGAATATTACTGTGTGATCTTACATATTTGTTGTGTACTTCATAAACTCATAAAAACAACCTGGGATTTACAGCTTAGAGAAGGGACTGAAAGTTGATTCTTTGAATTTGATGTTAACATTAATACTATGCATACTGTTATAACAATTGGGGGTGAAATAAGAAAAGTTGACCATTTAAGAATATCTTGACAATCAAAGTATAGCATTTCAAGACCTCCAGGTTGAACACTGATTATCTTAAACTATTTCCAAGGGGAGTTTCGCTTACCACCAGCAATTCTCCAGCACCCACCTGAGTTTGCCACAATTGAACTGACACATGGGAGGAGAGAACATGAGATCCCATAGTTCAATGGCTTAGTCCTTGACTAAGTACTTGACTTAGCTGCTGTGTATATAACAGAGCTTCAAACAGTCTTCCCAGCCTCAGGAAATTAGTATACTCACTACAGCACCTTTTAAAAGGAGGGTGTTTGGGGCTGGAGCCATAGCACAGCAGGTAAGGCGTTTGCCTTGCACACGGTCAACCCAAGTTTGATTTCCAGCATCCCATATGGTCCCCCGAGAATCGCCAGGAGTAATTCCTGATGCAGAGCCCGGGTGTGACCAAAAAAAGCAAAATAGATAAATAAAAAATAAAAGGAGGGTGTTTGAGAATAGCCAGGTGATGAACGTGCATAAGGCAAAGTCTCGGAAGGACACGCAGTGTTTGTACCCTGTCCTCAAATCTTAATGTGTGTACCAGCCTAGAAGACTGCCAAACCCATCCTTTTGGATTTTGAAACATTGACAGAAGTTCCAATTGACTAATCACAAGTTTTTTCCCCCTGGGCTGGCTGCCCCACAACCTTAGGTTGTGTAAGATTTCATCCAAAGTCACCTCGTTTTCATAACCTAAGACCCTCCCCACCTCAGGGAATTCCTTAGGTTTTCTGCACTCTGTGCCAGAAATGGGTGCAAAATATATATTATATATATATTTATGATAAGTGACAGTGTCATTGGGCTCCCCATTCTCTAAACATGTATATCATAGTAAAATAGTCCTAAAAGATACTGACATGTTCCTACATGCCCGGTCTATCATGCCAGTGTATGAAATTGTTCCTCAGGCTTGCAGTTTCCAAAAGCAGCAGTGTGTAGCTTTCCCCTTTTAGGACATCTAATCCCTGGTTTCCCTCATCATGTCACAAATTATTCCTCTCTGAAAACCCAGAGCTTCTCTTCATTGTGTTCATAGTGCAGCAGTAGGGCATTTGCCTTGCATGCGGCTGACTCGGGTTCAATTTCCCGCATCCCATATGGTCCCCAAGCACCGCCAGTAGTAATTCCTGAGTGCAGAGCCAGGAAGAACCCCCTGAGCATCGCTGGGTATGACCCAAAGAGCAAAAACAAAAAAAAGAAAAAGATATTGGTCTCTGGGTATAGCAGCGCCTGTGTGGGCATTACAGGCACAGAACTTCTGGGTGCAGAACCAATTTTTCCTAGTGGAGAAGCTGTGCCTTCACCTTCATGGTTCTTAGCAGTGCACCTTAGCAATAGAGAGGGTGTTCTGAGAAGTTGAGAGGTGACTTAGTGAAGGAAACAGTAGTGGACCAAATGTCTTCCCTTTTGGGCAAGAATCAGTCATACCGGCAGCATCCTCCTCACGCTTTCAGATCTGCCCGAGAACCTCCACCTCCACCCTGAGGCAGCACCTTAGTCCCTGTCCTGGACTGTGAGCACTCAGGGCAGCATGTACACCCCTTACTGCCTCCCCACTTGAGATAGTTTTCCTTGCTCTGAAAAAATGATGCTCAGGATTAAAGTTGGTCCACTGTCTTCTGAGCCAATATTTCGCAGCACTCTTAATTGCATCTACCACTGGGCAGAATTGCCCCATCGGGGTCTTATAGATATACTGGTAGACTTATTCCAGCGCCTTCCTCCCCGGGGCACCTCCCACACAGCTGGAATCAGTCTTCGTTGCTCTTGTTGGCACACGGCTCTTACTGGCACTTTGTGCTTCTGAGAAATATGTCTAGACCTTAGCGCATCTCTGCTGTGGTACCCACTGTCTCCCCACTTCAGAGACGCTGGTGACCATCTCAGTGCCAGTCATCGTCCCTCCTTGGATGGCAGTTATTTTGGTGGCGATCTCAATGCCCTGCTTTACTGTAACACCAGTTCCTGAAGTATCCCACTGCCCCATGCAGCCCTCCAGAGGCCAGCTTTCCCCTGCCTTTGGGATAGGCTGTATTGTCAGACCAGTCCATGAAATCAGAAAATTCCTTCCTGCTCTACCCCTAGTTCTAACTTTCGCTATTTCATAGAAACCAAAGATCTTAGAGCCATTTTCTTTTGTTCTTCCACAATTTTCACCATGGGAGGATTGCTCTGAGATTGTCCAGAGATTACATCTAGTGAACCACCTCTCCAGGAGATGACCCAGTTCTCCGTTTGCTAGCAGTTGCTCTATTTAGTGACAGCTCCAGTTGACAGGTTGCCACGTGGCTGTGTGACCAGCACTGTCCCTCCGTCCCACCACCCTTCATCATTTCTCTGCTCAGACCACTTTGGGCCACCCCAGTCTTCCAGATCCCACTTCTAACACCAACTGTTTAGGTTTTGAACCCAGCCCCAGTATGTAGGAGGAGTTTTTTCACACCACGAAGTAATTCTAGGATACCAGCTGGATGTTGTACGATTCTGTTCTTGACAACTGTCATGGAACTCATGATATAAACAGATTAAAGGAGGTAAAGGATTTTGATAGCATCAAAAGATACTTGTGAGAACTAACCAGGTGTGAACCCTGAGCAAGTGAGGATTAGAAGAGTGCTTATATACTAGAAAACCAAAGCAAGGTTGGTCCTAATGATGAAACGCATGATGCAGGGGGCCTCACCTTGTTCACCATTTAATTCTGTGGTCAGAGCATGCCCTGCAGCCAAGTCTACCTATTGGTCTGGCAGGCTTTGCCACCCTTTTGCTTCTTCATGTTCACACCGCCTGTGTGGTGCAGCACGAACTGCACAAACAACTGACCTCCAGGGCTTTGAGTATTTACTATCTGGCTCTTCTTAGAACCTTGGCAACCCCAGTCTCTTCCTGACCACTACAAAGAACAGGTTTTTAGCTTATTGCTAGATAATTTAGTTTATTGCTACTGGAAAGAAATGTGATACGTTATGAAGCTTTAAAAAGGTTTTCTGTTCCTCCCCCCCCCATCTTGAAATGTTAATGTGATATATATTGGTCCTTTTGGGTAATGACAGCATTAATGAAAATTATTAGTGAGATCTAGAAAATGTTTCACACATTAACGATATAATATAAATTGCCACACTTCTTCCCTTCCCCTACCACACATATACATACAAGGCACTAAAAATTCTCCTTTTCTGGATCATTGCTGATAATTGTCAAGTACCTTATTTTCAAAAGTACACTGATTGGCTCACTGGGCATCACTGAGGAACTTGTCAGAGAAGCAGACCTTGGGAGTTAGCAAACAATGTCCTTCTCTCTCCTCCCCTGAAGAAGCACATGAGCATGTGGAAAGAGATAAAGGTTGGGGCAAGCGGATGACTTAGCAGTGCTTAATTCTGACCTGGACTAAATTTTTAAATTTGAGACTGTATTATTAGGTGATTCACATGTCAATGGAATTTCTTGGGGTACTCCTCTACAAATTAAATAGTTGAATGGGATGAAGCCTTAATATAGTTTCCCTTTTTCTAGTAGGAGTTTTGTAGCTCTAAAAAACTATCATATTTTTATTTTAATACTAATCTTAGGAACCTGAAGGGACCTGAGACTGACTAGAACTTAAGCCCACTACCACCAATTGCTCTTACATGGAGTCATTAGTCTTCAATTATCTTTGAACAGCAGCATGAATTTAATATGGACACTGAAATAAATAGGTGCTTATCAAAGTGATGCTATGTGGCTGACTTCCTACAGCTGGCAACACTGATGGTGTATCTCAAGACTAGTCATAAACTACATATTAAAATAAATAATACATATATATGTAACTGAGGGCTGGAGCGATAGCACAGCGGTAGGGCGTTTGCCTTGCGTGCAGCCAGCCTGGCCGAGCCGGGTTCGATTCCTCCGCCCCTCTTGGAGAGCCCGGCAAGCTACCAAGAGATATTGCCCGCACGGCAAAGCCTGGCAAGCTACCCGTGACATATTCAATATGTCAAACACAGTAACAAGTCTCAAAATGGAGATGTTACTGGGCCTGCTTTAGCAAATTGATGAACAACTTGAGGACAGTGTTTGTGTTTGTTTTGTAACAGATTCTAAAATGTTTCAACATAGCAAGTTCCAGTGACAGTTTTAAATGTGCTTTAATACCAGTCTTATCTTTCCATAGGCTCAAAGTCTAACTCCCCAGGACTACAATCTGAGATGGTCAGGCCTCTTGGTGACGGTGGGCGAAGTCCTGGAAAAAAGTTTGGTGAACATCAGCCGGACTGACTGGCACATGGCTTTCACTGGCATGTCTCGCCGACAGATGATCTACAGCGCGGCCAAGGCCATAGCTGGCATGTACAAGCAGCGCCTGCCACCCCGGCCTATGTGAGAAGGCGCGAAGGCACAGCCAGACTCCACACTCGGGGCTCGAGAGGAGAGGAGGGATCGGCCCTTCTCACGCCGCGAGTGTTGGTGTAGCTCACCATTTTCATAGTTTCCCTGTAGGCGCTGCTTTTTCTCTGTTCTAGAAGGGCCTGGTGTCATTCCAGTAGACGGAAAAAGATAGGTCCTTTTTATGGAGCATACAATTTTACATATCAGTTCTCAAAGAAAATATATAAATATTTTTATAAGACAATTTGATACACCAAATTTATAAGGTACAACTTCTTGTGCTATGTGACCTTTAACTTAAATGATAAATACTTGATTATTTTGGTGTAAGACTTAACATGTTTATTGACTATTCCTTAAAAGCTTTCTTTTCATTCATGTTTAATCTCTGAAGGGGTATATGTGTGCACTGATCTCAGGCCTGATGCTCAACTTCATGTTCAACTAGTGACCGCAAGAAGCCTGTGTTTCAATGCGGATTTGAACATGGGCCAGACTAACAGAACTCATCATCTGTGGTCATATACACGCACAAGAGACTTTTGCTGCTTCACAGATTTATGCTGTGCACAGTGTAGCCTTGTGTTTTATTCTTTCATTGCAATATGGTATCTAAGTGGAACATGACTTAAACCAGAAGAATGTTATTTTCACATAATACTATTCTGTACGTCCATCATTTCTGCTTACACTCATTCTTCCCACTCAGAGAACTTTTTTGTATCTCTTATTTTAAATAAGATTATTCATAGTTTCCCATAAGCGCTGCTTTTCTAAACTTAAGCCATTCTGCCTTTCCTTTTTATGAAAGTTTTCAGAGAAACTATACTCAATTTGTTTTATTTAGTCCATTATATTTAGTGAAAGCTTCTCCCTCACCCATAATATATTTTACCATTATGGGATTGATAAAATCAGAATTAGTTTGTCTATTGAACTCTATATATACGTTCAGATAACTTTTTGAAGAATTTCTTATGAAGTGTAACTTAATTTTTACTTACTATTCCGTACAATTCTTTGGATGTAAAAGAACCTGCACAATCTGAAAGTTTTATTAAAGGTGTTGAGGCATTTGTCCTGCACTCATCAGTACATGTATGATTTGCTGTTTATTATTTTTGATTCAAGCATTTGATTTCTGCTATTAACTTTGCTTAAGGATGAGAAAAAATAAATCAGTCTCATACTATGGTTCAGTGAGACAAGTCAGCAGTTACTACGACCTAATGGGGACAGAGACTTTCCTACCCGCATGGTGTTTATGGAGCTCTACGTCTGTGCTTTTTCCATCTTTAATGGCTAAGAAAAGCCTGTATCTACCCTTTCCTACTGGTACTTTATCATGGTATTCTCCTGCAAGGCAACCAGAGCAGTAGGCCCCAACTTAGAGTTTCTGGTAGTTTCCCTCATTTAAAGGGAATGTTGCAGCTCCTAAAAATTCCACATTTCAATCTTTTTTCTTACAAACCTCAAATGCCTTATTTGAGAGTTGTTACCTTATTTGAGAACTGTTTTCATAGAACCACAAACAGTGGCACCCCACCAGGCTGCAGTTTCCTAGAATCCCTAAATAGCTATGGTAGAGTTCTCTGGTTTGGTTGAAGCCAGCTCATTTTCTGCACCTGGTCATTTGGTAAGCCTTCTGCTCTTTGGAACAGTGTGAGTGGGTGAGGACTAGGAAAGCACAGATGGAAAAGAAAACTACATGATCTGGTTCTGCTCTCTGAATCTTTTTTTGGCCCACAGTTATCTTTGAAAGGCGTCAGAGCATGACTGATTGCACATTCTCTGTTTTCCCAGCCTCTACTTTTGTCATACTTTGACTTCACCATTGTCCATGGGTGAGAAAAGTAACTCCTACGTAGTAACACTACAGCAGCTCTAGCCACCTTTGTGTGTGTGTGTGTGTGTGTGTGTGTGTGTGTGTGTGTGTTGGCTTTTGACTTGATACAGTCAGCAGCACAGGGCTTTATGTTCCTTGACCAGTCTTCCAGGGTTGCCTAGTTCTGGTTTTTTGGTTCCTTTCCTTTTCTTCTAACTCCCACACTAGCATTTTAAAGGATGAGTCACACTAGAAGCTATTTGCCTTTTTCCTCCTTCAACCGTCTTAGGAAAAACCCATCTTTAGCAAAGTTGTTTTCGTTGGGTTTGTGAGTTCTGAAAAATGTACCAGCAACTACATATTTAATTAGTTTTTAATGTTATACACCTTTTGTATTAAGAACAGGACAGTTGGGAAGATTTCCATCAGCCTCTATTGACACAAGGTGCTCAGATTTCCATTCAAGGTCACTCTGGTATTGTCATGTGGAGTTGGCAAGTAACTGGTTATGTGAGTTTCTTACCATTATTCCCCATTCTTTGTTCTTTCTTTCAAGTTATTCATTAGCTGGAAAATTGAGGGGAATGAATATAGATGAAATGGAGCTAGGGTATTATAATTAAATGAGTATTGTCAAAAGCTTATGATGTATATCTGTTCAGAAATATGCAAATGAGAAATATACTCAGGGTCAACTAAATTACTTTAATATGTGTACTTATTTTTTTTATCTGAAAAAAATTCTACACACGAATTTGTGTTGTCTGAAGCCAAATTGATATACACACTGTGTTCTAAAAGATGTTGGGTTTATGGACAAATTACTAAGAAACTCAGTTTTTTACTTCTAAAATAGTGTTCATTTTTAAGGTACTATGCAGGATGATGTGTTTAAAAACAATTCTGTAAGTATGTAAATATGTCACAAATAAATAATACCTCAACAAAGATATTAGTTTGTTAGTATTCCTGTTTTTTAGTCTAAATGGGTGCAAGAATTCTAAAGAAACAAGATGATCTTTCAAGTGGAATTATAATGTTGAACAATACTGCAGCTGCTACCTTCAAGGTGAGAAAATTCAGAAAATTTAGGGTAGCAATCCACTAGAAGGTAGCATTGTTGGATAAGATGCTCAAGCCTCTATTCAGGAGACCTCTAGAGTGCTAATTAAAAACAAAAACTTGGTGGTCAAGAATAAATTTTAAAAAAACACGCTTAGTCATTACTGTATTTATTATCATATACCTGTCATCCAGGTTATTATTCAGGATGAGAACATTTTTTCAATCTGTTAGGGGAAGAGAGACCTTGCCAAGAGATACCATTAAATTTACAATTCACATCAGAAGGAACTGGGGGCCTAAAAGATAGTGTAGCACACAGGACACCCACCTTGCTTGGTTGACCTGGGTTCGATCCCCAGCACCACAAATTAAAAAAACAAACCCATGTATTTTGGGCAGGATGTGGCCATCACCACCACCACCACCCCAGGAAAAGAGAAAAAAAAAAAACTTGTCCAGAGAAAATATGTGGTAAATATATTTAACACTATACAGAAATCTTTGAGAATTAAAGTAGTAAGGAAAGGACAAACTAACTTGTAGGAAATTCTATAGTTTATACAGTCAAGTAGGAATGAACTTGGTGGAATGAACTTGGTTGTCTCAGATTAGACTACTTATTTAGAATCATGACAACAAATGAGTTACAGTGATAAAAGTAAAAACAGTTCTCATCACAGCATTTTGAACCTCTGCTTCAGGGAATTTTAGGGTATGTATTAATCCTTGTCAAATTAAACTCAAAATAATACAGGGAAAAATCCTCATATTATTATTTACTGTCACAATATTAAGACTTTTTTTACCTCATATTTAAAATATTTCTCGTATTTTACCTCATATTTGTTTGAAAGGGCAGTTTTGGTCTTTGCTCTTGGCATGAAGAATATATCACTTGGATAGTCTTCCCCATATTTGAGAAACCATGAATTAGGTTTACCCCTTAGTGTCATTTTGGAATAAAAGCCAGAAATAATATTGTTAAATTAGTTTCAAACTAAAAAGATTCAGATGTTTGTGTTCCAAGGCATTCAGTACTCTCTGGTCTGGATCCCCAGACAACCCTGCTGCCCCATCAGGACAGGGAGAACAACGCACAGCCCCACCTAGTGCTGAGTATTATGCAGTCCGGATCATCCCAGTCATTCCTACTAAAGAACTCCGGTAACTGCAGTCCATCCTCCATCCCTTTCGTCAGAAGGGGACCATCAGTAGTCCTATCCAGGCTTTCTCAGCCAACTTTATAGTCTCACCCTGCCACTCCAAGCATGACCTCAGAGTTCAGTGGCTTTGCCCATGAATAAACTATGACAGCTGAAAAATAGAGCTTTATTGCAAATGCACCTACCAATACTAGCAGGCCGAAAGAGTTTGTGCCCATGCAAATCTATAATATTTGAAAGAGGAGACCTCTTTAGTTAAATATATAGATGTCAGTATATAGAATTAAGAATCATGAAAAATCAAATAAAACAGGACAACATAGGGGCTGGAGTGATAGCAAAGCTGGTAGGGCGTTTGCCTTGCACACGGCTGACCTGGATTTGATTCCCAGCATCTCTTATGGTTCCTTGAGCACTGCCAGGAGCAATTCCTGAGTAGAGAGCCAGGAGTAACCCCTGTGCATCGCCGGGTATGACTTAAAAAGCAAAAAAAGAAAAAGACCCTAAAGAGAAATTGAAAACAAATAATTCAGAGTAATCCTTTTAAGACTTAGAATGCTAGGTAAACTCCATGAACATACATGGAAGTAGGAAAAAGTACAAAAGGAAAAAGCTCACCTAAGAAGAAGAAATCATTAAAAATCACCAACACCCAAACAGGATTTTTTTTTTTTTTTTTTTGCTTTTTGAGTCACACCCAGTGTTGCACAGGGGTTACTCCAGGCTCTGCACTCAGGTATTACTCCTGGTGGTGCTCAGGGGACCATATGGGAGGCTGGGAATCAAACCCGGGTCTGCCACATGCAAGGCAAACACCCTACCCCCTGTGCTATCTCTACAAGCCCCCAAACTGGAATTGTAATGCTAAAACGACAGTGAGCTACAGACTTCAGGGAGAGCTTTGAGAGCAGAGATGACTTAACAAAAGTGAGAAAAACATTTAAAATGGTCCAGCCAGAGACAACAAAAACAATGGAGGATTTGATGAGAGATCTCATCAAAATAGCAACAACGGAAGTTCCTTGTTTTTCTTCAAAGAGGCACAACCAAAATGACCAGGAGCAGGACACTCCTGTGAGACAACACAGTGATGAAGCTAATGGACTTCCTCATCTCAGACGAAGACAAATACAGGCGGCATTAGAAAGCATGCCAGGGAAAGCACCTGGTATGTGATGTGAGTTGACTGCAGAGACACGTATGGAGGCTGTGATGTTCTGGAGGGGTGACCAGTCAAGAAGCTATCAGGGTGAGGAGAGCGCTGGGAGAAGAGTAGAGGTACTAACTCTTGGACCAAGTGAGGCTCACAGTTGATAGCAAAACAGGCCTACCTGTGAAAATAGCAATCTGAACTGAAAAAGTTTGAGCTAATACCTAAAGAAACTAGAAAAGAGAAAACAAAATCAGAAGCTAGCAGAAGGAATAAAATGATAAAAATTAAAGAAAAAAATATGTAATCCAAGAGTTGGTTTTTTGAAAAGATAAAATAGGAGCTGTAGAGAGTACAGTGGGTAACGTACTTGCTTTGCATGTAACCAACCGAGCTCAGACCCTGACATGGCATGTAGTCCCATGCCTCACCAGAAATGATTCCTGAGCTCAGAACCAGGATAAGCCATGAGCACAGGTGGGAGTGGCCCCAAAACAAAAAATAAAAAAGCAATATAAACTAGACCTCAATGTAGAAAAAGCACAAGATTGGAAATGTAACAACTGACAACAGATATTACAGAAATACAAAGAATGAATATCATAAATACCTATAAAACAAATTGGACAATCTAAAACAAATGAATTCTTAGAAACATACAGCAAGACTGAATCTGGAAGAAAGAAAATATGAATCAGCCAATCACAAGTAAGGTCACTGTCACTGTCCTCCCCTTGTTCATCGATTTGCTCGAGCGGACCCAGTATCATTGTGAGACTTGTTACTGTGTTTGGCATATCAAATACGTCATGGGTAGCTTGCCAGGCTTTGCCGTGCGGGCAAGATACTCTCGGTAGCTTGCCAGGCTCTCTGAGAGGGGTGGAGGAATCAAACGTTGGCCACATACAAGGCAAACGCCCTACCCGCTATGCCTCCAGCCCAGCAGTTGAAGCAATCAACCTTTCCCCAAAAATAAAAGCTCAAAATGAGATGGTGTCATTAGTGAATTCTACTACACTTTCAAATTATTAATATATTCATTCTTCTAGCCTAAAACTAATTGAAAGGAAGGAAAATTAAACACATTGTATGAAAACATGAATGTAATTTTGAAATCAGAAAAAGGACATCACAAAATTAGAAAATCAGAGACCAATTATTTCTGGTGAGCAAGCTTGTAAAATCTTAAAATGTTACCAATTATTAAGTTATTTTAGATCTTTTAATTGAATTTTTAAAATTGAATCACTGTGAGATAAACAGTTACAAATTATAGTTTTTCATGATTGGGTTTCTAATCGTACAGTGTTCCTACACCTGGTACTTCACCAGCGTACATTTCCCACCACCAGTGTTCCCAGTTTTTCTCCCATTCCTCCTCGCTGTCTCTTTAGCACCCTCTCTCTCCCTCTCCCTCTCCCTTTTGGACCTTATGGTTTGCAATACAGATATTGAAAGGTTGTCAGGTATATCCCTTTACTGATTTTCTTCTTTTTTTTCTTTAATTTTTATTAGTGAAACACCATGAGGTAAAGTTGTAGACTTACAAATTTTCGTGCTTGGATTTCAGTTATACAATGATCAAGTACCCATCCCTCCACCAGTGCCCATTCACCACCACCACTAATCCCAGTATCCCTCCCATCCCCCTTCCCCCTATACCACCTGCCTCTGTGTCAGGGCATTCCCTTTTGTTCTCTC